ATCTCTATTTAAAGTAAAGTCAACCAACAAGGATCGACCCTAAATAAAGTCCTATATAAGAACGAGAGATGTTTTAACAGATGGCTTAAACAAATGACAAATGAGCGAGGGTGATGACGTCAGAGCATCGTCCTATGTGCCGGGGCTGAGCCCAATTGAACCCCTGCCGTTAGCACAGATCTAAAGTGAAATGACAGGAGATGCAGAGCCATAAAGGATTCAAGAAGGTTTTATTGTTTTGCCATGAGATGACTTTTCACTTTAGCAGCATGAGTAGATTGAGGTATTTATACATTCTTACACAGGTAACAAACTGAGACATTTAGTCACATAGAAAAATAGACATTTTGCAAAAATACACAACATGCAGACCAATATTTATCCCTGATATCTGTGCGTAACAAAGTAAAGACATAAATATACACAAAACCACGCATGTACGCAGTCATGCGTGCACACAAACACACCTGCAGCAGGCCTCTTCCCCAAATGGTCTTTTTAAGGCTGGCCTCTTTTTTGGCTGAGAAGATAAAAGATAAATTGTCACCTTCAAATGTGTTCACAGTTGTTGGAACCAGACACCCTACAATCAGGTTCAGATCAAGAACATCTTCAGTGATAGTTGTGTAATTTTAGGCTTAAAGTGATGGATCCACATCATAAAAACATTGGTGTATGCGACCTACAGTATGTTGTGTCATAGCTGGCTTGTTTACTCACTCTTTAGGAGTTGGATCTGTTCTCCAAACCCCCACACGCAGATCCCTGATATGCTTTCCATTCTGTCTGCTCTAGCGGGAAGGGGAGGACAAGCGTTGACACTTGGAGGTTCTGGACAGTGAGGAGCTGAGAGATGTTGACTCATCACTGCCTTTGCGCTTTTCAGCAAGACCCCTGTTGTTGCAGCCCGCCCCCTGCTGCTGAATCCCTGGAGCCCTCGCTTTGCTGCGGGGGGAGCGTTGGAGCGGAGGGCATGGCTTATTCACGTTTGAAAAGGTATCATTAACTGCTCCTTGAGAGGAGGGGACATGTGGCTGGCCCTTCTCATTGAGGGGGGGGTCCCTGATGCATTTGGAGGATTTGCCCTCACCGCCGTTTGACAGCATGGCAGCTTTCTGTAGTGCGCTCGCATCTTGCATAAGCTCCTCCTCCCGCAGCCGGGCCTTGCCGGCAGGGTTGCGCCGTCGGCCTAGCCCAAGTGTCGCCGTTGCGGGGGAAGAAGGCGATTTGAAACTGGGAGATTTGTGCAGACTGGGTTTGGTTTCCAGTTGACCCAGTGAGGTATAATCGAGGCTGAGGGAGCCAGTGGATTTGGAGGATCGGGCCTCAGTCCTGACAGCTGATCCTAGAGCTGGAGATGAGACCTGACATGACCTGAGACCTGATGAGACTTGAGGCATTTTCCTGTAGGTTCAAAGGAAAAATTAAGCTTATAGGGATGTCTTTTTAAACATAATTAAAAGCATAAAGCAAAACCTCCAGGCAGAAGATCCAAGACAGCCTTAATTGGCAGTCAGGTCAGCTATTAGTAAGATTGTAAGGCTCCAAAAGGCACATAATAAAGGCAGCTAGAGATGTGCATGTGACCCCCCAGATGGCCTACCTGCTGTGTAAAGTGCAATCAATGTTTTCTTCTATGTAGGTTTGATGTTTAAATAATATTGTTTGTGCTGTATAGGGCTAATTGTGGGTTTGTACATGTTTTAGGACTCCTGTAAGAGTAGCCCAGTTTGGCTAAAAGAGAACATAATAAATTAACCTAAATCAAATCAAGGTATTCTCACTTACCCTGATGTGGTTCTGGTGGATCAATTGCAGCCTCATTTTGTTATGAGACCGAATATCCATTGGCTGATCCTTAAATATGTAAGATAAATTGTTTCTGCACTGCCTGCTTGAGTTCTGAAATCTGACTCCATCAATACTCTTGAAGCAGGCTAATACCCTAACTTTTTTTTAAAGATATTTTTTGACCACATTGCGTCTATTGACAGTGTTGAAAGGGGGAGCCAGAGTGGAGTACCCACGTTATTCATAAGAGTATATTAATGTTGTTAAACAAACCATCTTTTTTGTAAAGGATATTTTTTAGATCAACACCTGTCCTTTTCTCATTACATAATTAAAAACTATTTAAATGGCAATACACTATGCTCTTTAAATACTATATCCTCTATTGGGGTAAACTTTGAGGAACTATTTTCTTCATCCAAACAGGTGAAATATCTATAAGGTAAAGTAGTGACACTCACTTCCACAAATGTGTGCTGACATGGTGCTCCAACATGGCACTGAGGGCGAACCGCAGGTGATGTAAACGCCGGTTGAAGGTGAAGATGCTGCAGCCCAATGTGCGGCATCCAAAAGTGCATAGCTGGAGACGAGAAACCATTTTACAAATACAAACAAACTCATGTCCTTTTCAGAGGTGTAAACAGTGAGATTCACAAATCAATGAGCAAATATTTTTAGATACATTTGTTTTTATATTCGGGATTGTGGGGATTGTGGGAAACGGTATTTCGATCTCTCTGTCTGTACACACAAACTGGAAGATTGACAATAAAGTTGACTTTGAAATTGAAAAAAGGGAAAGAAAAATTGAAAAAAGAAAAAGAAATGCTCAGTGTTTTTCACTATCCAGGATTATCGAAACTGCTAAAAATGTCTCTTCCCCCCAAAAAACCTAGATACTTTTGCACCGCACTGCTACTTCTGCACTCACCCCGAGAGGTTTGGGGTGCAAGGGTGTGGCAGGCAGGTCTGTGTCTTCATCCTTTTCATCGTCTTCACTCTCCTCGGCCGACAGCTGACTCTGGTTGAAGGCATGTTGAGGCGGGGCCTCCACTTCCACAGTGCTGTCACGTTCCTCCTCTGGAACTTTTTCTGATAGGTCCTCAGACCTGCTTTGAAAGCAAGAAAAACAAACAAATGAGAACAATTAATTCCACACTATCAGGCAACACAAAAATACTCAACATGGTACCGTCTGGATGATTAAACATTACCATACACAAAATATATTTTTCAAATGTAATGTTTTGACTGATCAACACAATCATTGTTTGTCTTGTATGCTTTTCATTTTTGCTACTTTTACTGTGTTCTGTCAACTAATAATGAAACATGTTGTGATAAAAACAGGTTTCAGTAGATCGTAGTGCCCTTGTCCATCTCAGACAACATTTGAGAGAATTAAAACATCTTCTGCAGTGATAATTTATGTACTTTGTTAAATAAAATTAACTTGGTAATTTTACAATATATAAATATATATTATACCTGGGAATGTGAAAGTTGCTGTTAAATGTTTTACTGGTCTGAGTTATTTTTGTATCTTCAAAAGCTTCCAGGTGTTGCTCTTTGTCTTTTGAATTAACAAGAAGCTGATCCAGAGCATGACCTATGGAGGCTGGTTTCTGCTCCTCTGCCAACTGGGCAAGTGTCTTACTCCTTCCCAATGCTTTCTGCTGCTGGCGGATGGAATCAGTCTGTGTGGAGAGCCGAAAGACAAGCATTACAAA